AGTCACATGATCTCTCTATGACTCACTTCCAGTTCCTCCAATCCCTTGTCTGCCTTTTCTATTTAGATAGTGTTTTCCCATTAGTGTCTAGCAAAAGAGGCCTGCACCTCTGTTGGGGCCTTGAGCAGTGAGGGTAATAGAAATAATGATAGTAATACATTCCGTGCCTGCATTCCTTGTATGTCCAAAATTCCCTAATGAAAACAACTGGGTGTGCGCAGAATGCAGGATTCAGCCCATGGCCTGCACGTAAGGTGGCTATTATAAATGATCTTTCATGAATCAACTTCTTTTTTAATGTTCTGAGAAATGTTTGCTTAGTGTTTGTGATAAAATAATTACATACTCAAACAACCTTTCAGCCTATCCCTTTTCTTTGGTGTGTCTTTCTACCCACAAGCAAAGTTTCTCTTAATTTGTGGATGTTGCCTTTAAATAGAAAAGGACCAACATTTATTATGCAGAATCTTCTGTTGGGTGGATAGTTTTTCTTATTTGTTTTAATATTTAAAGTTCAAAAAGATACCACCTTTCCTTCTATATTTAACTTTATACCTTTTAATACATGTCTGAATAAGGTAAGGTGTTTGCCTAGAAAAAAAATCATTCCCACTGTAATTTTTTTCTACAAATAAAATGTCTGTGCCTTTGGGCTGTGAGGCCTCAGGGCAATTATTGAAAAGGCCCCCAAAACAGAGTCTTTAGAAGAGTGCTTTCATTATGGACTTCAAGGTACTCAGGAGCCTGTAACTTTAAAACACTCATTAAATCATAGAAATTAGAGATGGAAGAGGACTTTTTGGCTATCTAGTCCATCCTCCTGCTAGTGCAGGGCAGTCCTTGACAGTACAGTTACTGGTGTTTTGACTAGTCTCACCTTAAATATCCGAAGTTCAGGGCTTCAAACCATTTCCTTGGGGGAATATTACTACAGTCTAACACTGTTCCCTTTTCTTAATTTTGTCCATTTGTCCCTAAATAATTACTCTCCCTCCTATGTTTATAACCTTCAAATGTTTGTAGGTGGTTATCCATCCTCACCTTTAAGCATCACTTAGCCAATCTATACTTATTGTAATAACTCTGTGATAGGGTGACCAGATGTCCTGATTTTATAGGGACAGTCCCAATATTCGGGGCTTTGTCTTATGCAGGTGCCTATTACCCCCCACCTCCTGTCCCGATTTTTTACCTTTGCTATCTCATCACCCTTCTCTATGACCACCTAGGAATTTGCCGGTGTCACTATGTTGCACACCATGGCCACTCAGAACTTCACTATGACAATGAGCATAGACATTGTAGCCTCCTATGCCAAAAGCACAGGCTTCTACCCAGTGCTTGATCTGTGCCACGGCTTGTGTGAGCTGAGCCCTGGCACCTCTAGGTTTGGCAGTTCATAGTCCCAGCACCTCTAGGCTTGCCATGTCAGTTAAGAAAGTAAAAAAATTGCTTGAGCCCCGGCAACTCTTTCATTACAAATTAAGCACTGCTCCTATCACCTGAGCAAGAAAAGAGTTGATATTAGCAGCATAGAGCCTAAGACACACAGTGGGCCAATTCTAATTCCAGCCTGTAGTGGGCAGTGGTGCACAAACACTCCAGCTGTTCTATTACATACTCCCTTAGTTAGAGGAAGCTAATTTCAGAGCATCTGGGATTCACAGGAGTTTAAATTATTTCTGGATACTAACACGTATCTTTGAGACTGCTTAGGACTCAGATTTGCTGCTGTTTCACACAGGAGTGATGCTCAGGACTTCACAACAACAGTTAGGGTTGAATTTAGTAAAAGGTTACTTTGGAAGGTTATTTTAAGCACTACAAGGCAGATACTCAGGTGGGGTTAATTGTCAGAGCTCTTCTGATGTCAGTGGAGTTATGCAGATAATACTAACTGAGCATCGGCCACTACCACTTAATCCAGTTAAAAGTAATACCACATATGTCAGTAATGCAATATTGAGATTGACTGACCCAGGGTGGGGGGTTTTTAGAGGGAAGGAGGTAGGAGATGTTTAAATCATTATTGCATCCATTATTAGAAAGATTGTATGCCAGAATTTACAATGTTATTACCTGTGATTTGCCTATTCATTGAGTTGCCAGCTATACGATATGTGGCCTGAATGTGAATGCAGCAATGACCTGAAATGCATCAGGGTAGGGTGAGGAGTAGGGGCTGGGCAGAGCACCAGAACTGAGCTGCCAGTAACAGCCAGGTGAGAAGGGGCAGAAGAGAGGGGATGAGCAAAGCAACAGAACTTAGCTACTCATTGCTGATGTTGATGCACGAGAGGAAAAGAAACTAGTGTAACTGTCACAACCCAGAGGGAGTTTGCAGATGCTGCAGTTAGAAAAATTATCTTTTTAGTGGCAAACTGAATGAGTTTGACAAGGAATGAATGCAACACAAGAATGTGAAACCCCACAATCCTATTATGTCAAAGTTCCTTCTTAGCGTAGAACTGTATTTTAAGAAGAGATAAGAATTTACTGTCCTACCACCACAGTATCTGAGTGCATGTGGAAGGATCTAAAGGTGGACTGGATAACACTCACCTGCTAACTGGGGCGTGTAACTAGAGATCCATGGAGTGGTGATGATGCTGGTATCCCTCACCTTCCCCTCACCTGTGGGTGATGGGAGGGGGAAGAAAGGGAGGGGAATTTGGCTCCTCTTGATTTCCCTATTTCCCTTCCCCCTCCCTCCCTGGGACAGGGTTTGGCTTTAACTGGGTCTGAGCTCTGAGCCTGTCCTACCTGTTCCCACTGCAACTGGATGACTGGGGTCAGGACAGACTGACCCACTGGCTCTCACTTCCAGAGGCAGGGAGAGGAAGCAGAGGTTGTTTCTGCCCACTGCTCGCTTGTAGCCATTTTAGCTTTGTTCCAGCATCAGCCTTTCACACCCTTATTTCTGGAGTTCTTGGGCTGCTGGGGACTATACTGAACACCAGATTTTATGGAGGGTCTGAAAGGGATTTTTTTTCCCATATGGGAAAATTGAGAAATGACTGTGGGATTTTTTCACCTTCCATCTGGCATCTTGGACATCCGGGTTAGGGATTTACATTACATTTGTCACAATGTTGGCAAACTCCAGTGCGGTTGGTGCGTTAAGAAAGGGTCAGATGTGAGGTCTCTGTAACCCAATGGGCTCAGAGCACAACACTGCATGATAAGAGGGTAAACCTTCATGGCTTACCTCTCCTAGCTCCAGCATGGAGGAGGGGAATAGGTTGGGACTCTGATTGCCTGTCAGGGCAGGCCTGGACATGTAGAAGGGGAATTGCACTCAGACCCTCCTAAGGTTTGTAGAACCCAGGGCCCAGCTAAATTCCACATTAGAACAGCCCTGCTGGGTAGTCCAGGGAGGTGTTTCTCATTGGCTAATAGTTTAGAAAAACAGAGGCCTCCACATTAAACCATACTCTGGTATATGTGTTTCATCGCTTCAGTACCAACATCAGCATATTAGAAAGGGAAAATCCTGCATCTGTAGGCGAATGGACAAGATGATTTAATAGGGGTTTTCCATCTCTAATTTCTATGACTATATTTAGCACTGGCTCAAACTTGCAGTTAAATTAGAAACTTGGCCAAATAATCCAGTGCAAAATTCCACTCACTTTCATCTATTTTTGCGATTTGTCATCACTTGATAAAACATTATTTGTCATTTGGGCAACTGGCTGAAATTTTACTCATTTAGCTTCACTGGCTCCTGTTTCATCAATAGGCTGAATTATGCTGAGACGTGTTGCGTTGTATAAAGCTGGGTGAGGTCTCTGATGAAAGATCAGATTAAATGAAAGTGGTGGGTAAATTTCAACACTGACAGAACCTTGATCTGACTTACAGGCCAGTAGGAATGTAATGTGATGTGGACAGAATCAGTGATGGTAGCCAGTCTGTATTTTCCAAAGTGCAGAATGAGCTTAGATTGAGTTGACTTTATAGAGAGAAGGAGTAGCCTCAAATTCAAAAATACTGTAGCATTCACTGCTGCCATATTACCAGTTTCACTACATCTTGTGCTGTGTAAATTATCATAATCACATGCTTCTATCATGCTTTGTACACAAACAGAATCTACCTATCTAGACTTTTACACAGCCCACATGACAGTAGTAACTGTGTGCCTAATGGACCTATGATGGTATCCCATTTAAATTATATTATTGTTTTTAAGGGAAGTCAGATTCCATGAACTGGCCATTTTACAGGCTCATATTTGCCTTTGATCAAATACTTCTCAAAGGCCAGCATTTTCAAAAGTGAATACTGATTTTCAGTTGCTGTGTTTTCAGGTACATCTCAGCTCGGTAGCCAAAACCTGAGTCATCCAAATCCATTTCTGAAAATGTGTCTGTAAATGATTCTGATCTGTACTGAGACCCACTACGATCACGATTCCAGCAGCAAAATTGTTGTTAGAGTTTTAGACTAAAAATGAAAACAAACAAACAAACCCAAAAACAGGAACATGTTAGTAATATAATATACTCCACATTGTTGTTGTCTTATGAATCAAGATGGTAAGTTTGCAAAACAATTGATGTGCTAATGAATTACTATAGACATTAAAATTATGCAATTATTTTACTTTAAGACAATCCATCTGTTCACAGAGCTTGTCATATAGTGTCGCTTTGTCTGATAAAATAAAAGGAAAGTAATTATCCTATCAAAGACGAAAAAGTAGGTCAGTGTAAGTTATTGCAAAATAAAGAAATAATGCTGAGTTGCTTCTACACAAAAATTCCCACAGCATCTGTAAATATGCTGAGAGCATGTTTATATAAAGATATAGTTTCTAAGCCCTTAGTGGGACCACAGATGCCCAAACCAGGACTTCTTGGAATGAAGAAATAAACCAGCTGTGTAAGCATCTTTACTTTGCAATGACAAGGATGTTCTAATTTGTCCACAAGAGATGACTCACCAGTTTAGGTCTATAAAAGTAAAGGTATTTACACTCTAAAAAATCAGAGTTTCAGAACCCAAGAATTCAGCATGATGCATCCAAGCCTTGCAGCTGCCTTCCTTTTCTTGCTGGGCTTGTCATGCTGTTTGGCACTGCCTATTCCCCATGAAGACAGCGATGAATTCACAACGGAAGACCTTCAGTTTGCAGAGGTACAGTATAAAATCAATCTTCACATATTAAGGTCGGCTGTTTGATTGCCTTTGTTCTTTGGAAACTGGAAATAATATTTTTTTCCCCTAGCGCTATCTAAAGACACATTACAACCTACGTTCCAATCCTGCTGGCATAAGGAAGAAGAATGCCAACTCAGTGGCAGCCAAACTTCGAGAAATGCAGTCTTTTTTTGGGCTGGAGGTGACTGGCATATTAGATGAAGAAACATATGAGCTGATGCAACAGCCAAGATGTGGTGTCCCCGATGTGGGGGAATACAACTTTTTCCCTAGAAAACTAAAGTGGTCAAAAAATAATTTAACATACAGGTAAAATTATAACATTTAGTGTTATTGTTTCTTATTTTCAAGTTATCCTGCTATATAGGTGTTCAACAGCCATTATGTCGTATATTAGGTTGACAAGCTCAGCAAGAACAAAGGGTAGTCCAGACTTTGTAAAAATCTCATGTTGCAGTTTTAAAATCTCTATGGCCCTGATCCAAAGCTCATGGAACTCAATGTGAGTCTTACCATTAACTTTAGTGGGCTTTGGATCAGGCCCTATCTAAATTTCTTTAATGAACTCAGTTATCAGTCAGCCTGGCTAGCTCAGTTGGTAAAGTATGAGACTCTTAATCTCACTGTTGTGGGTTCAAGCCCCATGTTGGGCATTTGATTGTGCTGGGGGAGGGATAGCTCAGTGGTTTGAGCATTGGCCTGCTAAACCCAGGGTTGTGAGCTCAATCCTTGAGGGGGCTGTTTAGGGATCTGGGGTAAAAATGGGGGATTGGTCATGCTTTGAGCAGGGGATTGGACTAGATGGCTTTCCGAGGTCCCTTCCAATCCTGATATTCTGTGGTCACAATATGATACAATGGTGCCATTAAAAATAGCCCTCTCTCTTTCTTATCAATATTTGCAGGAAACCAAAGAGTGATAAGAAAGAGAGAGGGCTATTTTCCCTATGTATTAAATATGGAAATAAGTGGTATCTCTGATAATGCTATGTAGCAAACTGTTAACAAACATTGTTTTGTAATGGTGACCGTTGTATCTCTTCAATGTCTCCTTGATCATGTATTGTCTCTCCAGAATGGTCAGGTGCATGAGATATTTCATATCTCTTCAAAATATTTTTAGTAAAATATACTGAATAAAGTCCCATATTATCTATACAAAATATCTTAATAAAGAACAAACTTTTTGTTTTCTGGGGTTTTTCTAGTGCGTATAATAATGGCAAAAAACCCCCAAAAAACAAAAAACACACCCCAAATCCCAAACTGTTAGGTCATTATCTTTCTGAATGGAAATGTACATTTTTATTTCTGGAGTACTGTACATTAGTAATCCAATTCTTTCTTCTGAGGTAAGTGCACTTTAGGGATAGCTTTTGAGAAATGACTGTCTCCCAGTCAAAAGTAGGTTTTCATGGAGGTACATTGCAAAATTCCTTGGACCTGCAGAAAAGTTAATTGAAGATATTTTATCTGATTGATAGAATTGTGAATTACACTAGAGATCTGACACGTGCTGAAGTGGATAGAGCATTCAAAAAAGCATTCAAGGTTTGGTCTGAAGTGACACCACTGAACTTTACTAGAATTCGCAGTGGCACTGCTGATATCATGATTTCCTTTGGAACTAAAGGTAACAGAGAAAGTTTACTTTTTGGCAGTTTAATTATATTTTCACCTGTTTAAAGATGAGATGTAAATGCTGTCGGTATTTTAAATATTGCTTTGTAGAACATGGTGACTTTTATCCCTTTGATGGACCTTCTGGATTACTGGCTCATGCTTTTCCTCCTGGACCAAATTATGGAGGAGATGCCCATTTTGACGATGATGAAACCTGGTCAACTGATTCCAGAGGTAACCTGTTCAAAAGATCATTTTAACTAGAGCTGGGTGCACTATTTGTTTCAAATAATATTGGCTATGAATTTTGTCCTTTTTGGATAGCAAATCATTCACAATCTCATCCTGATTTCATAAAATGTATTTGCTATTCAGAATATTTGCCAGATACTTTGGATGGATAATTTTCACCCTATATGTTGTTTGTAAACAGTTTGCTTTGACTGTTCTGTAGTTGTTTTTTATTATTCATGTTGCGTGATTGGTTACTGAAGTCACAGGGAGCTGTTTTTAATCCCAGATTGTAGATAGGAGTATGGTACACGTCTTGCATGAATTATGGACAAAACAATTATTTGTGTTAAAATTTGAAATTTGCAACTCTCTTCTAGAATACCTGTCAGTTGTCTGAATACACCAGAATAATGAATCACATGATCCATGAACCCAGAGAAACAAGGCAGTTTGCGTTTTTTACTATTCAAATATCTCATTGTTTCACTTGCAATTTGAGGGTGTCCAGCTTGGATCTCAGACAGATGGTGTTACCCCGCAGTAGAGCCAGTGGGAGTTGTAGATACTTACCATATCTGAAAATCAGGCCACTTTTATGAAGTTTGAAAATATTTGCCCTTGTCTGCACAAGGAGCCATTTTTGAAAAATGGATCCAATTGTCACTAAGTTTTTTTCAACTTCGGACACTGTTTTTCAGCACTGTGTCATCTAGCTTTGCTGGGAGCAGATTTATTTGATCCAATGCTGGAAATAGCACTGATGGTCAATGGACTACCTACACTAGGGATGGAATCCCTGGAATCCCAAAACTTCCATTAACTTCATTGGACCAGGATTTCACCCTACAATTTCCAACATTGCTAAGATGATTGAGTTGAACTGGGGTTGGTGATAGTGGGAAATTTTTCAAATACAATTTAGTGTAAGAAAAAACTTAAAGGGCTCAGGCTATTAGGCCCTTACTCAAACAAAATTCCCATTGTCTTGAATGAAGACAACAGGATTGGACTGTGTATCTCAGCATCCCCATCTGTAAAATGGAGTTAATAATATTTAGGGTTAATTATTTCATGTATGTTCACTTCTTAGACGATGTAGAGATCTATATAATTGTTTTGTATCATCAGTGCAAAAAAGACATTGTGAAAGAGGATCAGGCAATAAACTGCATTCAGATACATGTGTATATTGTTTTAACAAGTATTTTTGCGTTTGCTTTGCTTTCTTATAGGATACAACTTGTTTCTTGTGGCTGCCCATGAGTTTGGTCACTCTTTGGGACTTGAGCACTCCAGAGACTCGGGAGCTCTGATGTTCCCTATTTACACCTACACTGGCAACACTGGGTTCTTGCTTCCTGACGATGATGTGCAAGGGATCCAAGCTCTCTATGGTTTGTCTTCCTTTTGCCATTTTATCCATGTATCTTGGAATGTACATGTTGCACTGCAATTTACCTTAGGGTGAGCAATTTGCTGTTGTTGTTCCTATTGCTCAATTGCACTACCATGGTAAATTAAGATAGAAACCCTGGATCCTGGGAACCAGGCCTCAGGGTCAGAAGATATCCACATTTAACACTCAGGTAGAAACTGCAGCAAGCAGTGTCAAGTGCACAGGTGATTGCTGCTGGCTGGTTACCTGCTTTAGTGGACTTAAGGTCCCTGAGCTGTCTCCCATGGGAGGATGATCAAAGACTATGAAGTAGGAGAAACAGAAATGTCCATAGGGGAGACCTTGGGAGGAAGCAATCTTCTCAGAGGCCCTAAAGACATGATGTCAATGGCATCCATTTAGTTTTAGCCGCAAATATCTTTGCAATGTAACTAAACCCCAAAACATAGGGACATGATTTGCCAGAGGAAGAATAAGAAGGGAAAGTGAATATCATTAGTCCAGACAGTTTGTCCTTGATGGTTGTATTCATTCTGGCACTGGTGGACTCTTCAGTGTCCCATTTAGTACATAGTTATCTTACATGGAAGAAGAACAAATGCAGTCAAAGCTAAGTTATAATTTATGGTTACAGGTGCAGGAGACAGAGATCCCAACCCCGAACACCCCAAAACTCCAGAGAAATGTGATGAAAATTTGTCACTTGATGCAATAACAGAACTTCGAGGAGAAATGATGATCTTCAAGGACAGGTTGCAATGTGTGGTTTACCTATATGCTTCTTTTGCTGTACAGGGCCCAGCCAACTCACTACTAGAACTACACTTGGTACAACTGAGAAAAGAAACTGGCCCCAAAAACCTTTTTAATTTCCATTACTTTATCATTTGTTTCTGAAAATATAATTGATTAGATCTTTTTCTATCTTCCAAAAAATCTGCTATCTTTCTCCCTTAGAAGTTAATCTCTTTTTCTAAGCACAACTAAAATAGGTTGTAAAATCAACAGAAATAACTGTAAGGGCCATACAGCATTTCACATTTAAGCAGCCTTTATAACATAAATATGGGCTTGACTCCCTGTCACACTGGTGACAATCAAGAATTCCTGGAAGTCAATGCAGTTAAATTCATGTGAAACTGGTGTTACTTGGGCTCAGTCTCCACATGATCAAGCAGACATACTTACTGGTTCATGGGATTGCACTGGATTTTTCTCTAAAATTCAGAGATTATTTAATTTTCTGGGCAAAATTGCATGGCACGCAGCAATCTTACGTGGTGCACTGCCAAGTTAATCTGTAGACATACTTACTGGTTCATGGGATTGCACTGGATTTTTCTCTAAAATTCAGAGATTATTTAATTTTCTGGGCAAAATTGCACGGCACGCAGCAATCTTACGTGGTGCACTGCCAAGTTAATCTGTAGTTTCTCTTCTTAAGGAAAAAAGGTTGGACAAAATAAAATCAAGACATCGGTTTGTTCTCTTCTGTGAAAGTGTTCACGTTATGAATGAGCTAGGTAGTCTGAACCATCATGGCTCGGAGAGGAAGTGGAGGTCTATAAGATTCTTCTTGAATTAAAATGTGTTCCGCATTGTAGAAAAGACTGAGAACCCAAAATTAGTTAATATTTGTGAAACACTGTGAAAATGATATCATAAAGAAGATGATAAAAAGCCCATTTTCTCTTTCTGACTTAGGTTCTTCTGGCGCCTACATCCTCAGATGGTTGACGCAGAACTGGTGTTAATTAAGTCATTTTGGCCAGAACTTCCAAACAAGATTGATGCTGCCTATGAAAACCCCATGAAAGATCATGTGTTCATATTTAGGGGTAAGCCTTTTGCAAATGGCAGAAAAGTGGAAGTATCTTAATCAGTCTCATTGAATAAAACTATTTAGGGTTAAATCTACAGTCCTCACTCAGACAAACTTCCATTGGTTTCACCCCAGGCAACACTACAAGATCTTCAATGGGCTAGAGAGTACAGAATTTAGACTAGAAGGTTAGGTCCTCATCTGGTGTAATAGCTTCATTTTACACCAGGTGAGGATCTGGCCCCATATAATCTAAGTCACATAAAACTAATAATGTCAAATAATAACAATGTAATAATTATTGCTGGGTTTTACTCTTCTAATACCTTTCCATTGATGCTCATAAAAGATTAACATTTTGTCATCATTATTTACAGGCAGGAAATTCTGGGCTCTGAATGGCTATGACATAGTTGAAGGGTACCCTAAAAAAATATATGAATTGGGATTCCCCAGAGAGATGAAAACAATAGATGGGGCTGTCCACATTAAAGACACTGGCAAGACTCTCTTTTTTACTGGAGACAAGTACTGGAGGTAAGTTAAAGATTTATGAGTTCTTATTTTCAATTCTGCCAAGCTTAACTGTGTACAAAAGAGCCAATTTTTTGTTTCAGCGTAGACACTTATGGCCTCATAGATCATATGTTTTCTTTCGTTTCAAAGTTTTATAGGGATAGCAGCTCTTTAGAATGTACCATAAAGATTTAAGTAACAAAATTATATAAACACTTAAGATTAAATTATGACATTCAGCACAACCCTGAGAAGAGGGTCGTAAGAATTTATCCCCAGGAGAAACTGTAACTCAGATATACCTCTTAGACACAATTCCTTCCCTGCTTCCCTCTTCCTGGATATGTGTGGCACAGGGTTGTAAGTTACTGCTGCCCTAAACAGGCAGCCAATATGACCCACTTTGTTCTAGTTTTCTTGTGCTGGCCAATGAGTTGGGTTTAGAGCCAATGTTCCATCCATCCCCTGACAATTTCTGCCTACCTGCTCCAGTGACAGACATGCAGCACCATCACCCTTATATACCTACGTACAATCCATGTAGAATCTAGCCTTTCAATTCTGTAGTTTATTAACCAACCTTTAAAAATTTACCTTTATTGTTCTTGTACCAGCTGAGGTTGTGTTTCTGGTATAAGGAGGCCTGGAGAATTGAATTTATACTCACCATTTCATTTGGCATAGACAATCTAGCGACTTCCAGCCACTTACAACTTGGGTATCTTTGAACAAGGTACCTAAAGGTGATAGGACTTTTGTCAGATTGCAAGCCATGCAGGTTCATTGAATTTGTATTTTTTCCATGTTTAACATAGCTATGATGAAGAAAACCAAGTTATGGAAAAAGGCTACCCCAAACTGATAGAGGAAGAATTCCCAGGAATTGGCAATAGAGTGGATGCAGTCTACCAAAAAAATGGTATTTCTTCCCTTTCATTATTATCATTAAAGTGGTCCAAATTCAGAATTCCCAGCATTTACAAATTTCCCTCCGTCCCAAAGCAAAACAAAAAGTTGAAATTTTCCTGTGAAATGAAATTTCTGAAAAAAATTCATTTTGGAAATTTTGAAACAACCTTATCCCATTCAGTTTAAAAATATTTCATTTTGATCTTATAGAAATGTTAAATTTCAAGTAACATAATCTATGAAAATCAAAGCAATAAAGTTGAAACAAAGAATATTGATCTTATAGAAAGGAAATGTTTAAATGATTTTGTCAAAATTTTCAGTGCAATCAATGTTCTCGTGATATTCATTCAACATTTTCTGATAGAAAAGTGTTCCATTTGAAAAGTTTCAGCCAGCTCTAATCACCATGTGTTATTTCCTGATATTTTAAATTGTTTCCTTCCTTTTTGATAAGAACACTTGTCGTTGTACAGTGCTTTATATATATTCAAAAGAGTGAGTTTGGTGGGCAGGTTTTAGGATTTTGTAGGAGGGAAACTCAGAAACGAAGAAAAGGAGTACTTGTGGCACCTTAGAGACTAACAAATTTATTTGAGCATAAGCTGTAGCCACAAGTCCTCCTTTTCTTTTTGCGAATACAGACTAACAAGGCTGCTACTCTGAAACCTGTCAGAAAGGAAGGTGAAGTATCTTTTCCAGAACCACCCAACAGGTCTCTGGTAAAATCTGGGTCAGAACTCAGCGTCAGAACTCTACACAATGTGTCCATGTCTCTGAGACCAGACTATATCGTCTTTAAATAGCATTTGCAAATCAGAGAATTAAATAAATAAGTAACCACATGATTTTCACAGGCATGTGCTATGTACAAGAGAAGAACCAAGTTTCTGAGCATCCCAAATATTGACTGTTGGCACTAATTTAAGAGCCAGAATGAGGCTAATTTGAAAATTTAGCTCAGAGTTTCAAATAGCAAATCATTTTGCTGAATAGACTTAGTCTGAAGACCCAGGATTTCTTTTTATTTGAGTAATACTTTTAACAAATGGCATTAATTTCTGCTTGCAATTCCTTTTAACAAGTCTTTTTCCCCATAGGTTACATCTACTTTTTCAACGGACCACTGCAGTTTCAATATAGCATCTGGAGTAAAAGAATTGTTCGTGTCTTGAAAACTAACTCCATGTTCTGGTGCTAATCGCTTTCTATTTGGGTACCATGCTGCAGGCTGTAGAACAGCCTATAGCAAATGGAAATATTATTGTGGGAATAGGGATTTATAGAGAATGATTCTGTGAACAAACTCTGTTTATCTACCACCAAAGCTATACTGTATATATGGGAACTATATAGCTTATGTCAGTCTGGAACTGAATTAATTTAATAGGCGGAGAGAAGAAAATGATTAGCATTTCAAGGGACATTAGACCATTTAAAATCAATGCAGAACTAACCCAGATCCCCCTGCAAGATGCTGAATGCATCCTGTGAGATCGCAAGTACAAACAATTCCAATAATTTGAGGGTGCTGAGCATCTTGCAAGAGGTTCTTGGTACCTCTTAGGAACAGAGCAATGGTGACTGCTGTTTAAGTAATTAGGGCTAATCCTGCAGTCTGTACCTTAGTAAAAAATCCATTAGATCATTTGGGGATTTCATGCATGTAAAGAATGGGTCAGGACAGCAGGACTGACACCAGGAGTGTGGAGACACCAGCTTAAGATATTGGAGCTATAGAATGTGGAAATGTTTTCATACTGGCATGTCCCCATGGAAACCACTGACCATGGCATCTTTACAAGAAACCAGAGTGAGGATGGTGAAACAGCAATGTGCCTAAACTAGGCTCAGAGGAAACCATTAGCCTGAATACACTGTATAAACCAGGAAGAGATGGGAAACACCAAGAGTTATGAGATACTCAGGGAAGGCGGCTGCAATCTAGCACTAATATAGATCAATTGAGAGCACACCAGGCCTGATCCACCCTTGCTGTAAACTGATGCAGCTCCACGGATGTTCACTGGAGTTATGCTGACTTACAACAGTTAGAATCTGTCAATCCACTTCAAAATAATGTTAAAATTATGCCGTTTGGTGTTTTAAGTCAAAGTTTTTCACCCATTTGATATTTATTTCAGTTGTTCCAGTGCTTTATGAGTCCACTGTTTTTTCAGTCAACTCAAACAATGCATGACTATGATTACTTTTCAACTTTAAAAGGTATTAAATAAACTGAATGAATTAAAGTGAATTTTGAGTCTTATTCATTAATATGGACTAGTGCATGCCAAAAAGGCAAAAGAGAACTACAGTAGAACCTCGGTGTTATGAACACCGGTTATGAACTGACCAGTCAAACACACACTTCATTTGGAACTGGAAGTACACAATCAGGCAGCAGAAAAGAGAAAAAAAAAAGAAGAAAAAAAAAGGCAAATACGATACAGTATTCTGTTAAACATAAACTACTAAAAATTCAAGGGAAAGCAGCATTCTTCATAATAAAGTTTAAAATCTGTATTAAGTTGTAAACTTTTGACAGAACAACCATAACGTTTTGTTCGGAGTTATGAATATTTCAGAGTTACAAACAACTTCCATTCCTGACGTGTTTGTAACTCTGAGGTTCTACTATACAGGGTATTTACAAAAGAAATCCAGTAACAGAACTTGGGGTTTTTAATAATAACTTTTTTTACCCATAATTCGATTTTTCAGGAGAATTCTGTTTTCCCATCAAAATTTATTAAAATAGTTTGCTTTATTCTGCAAAAAAGTATTTAGTGTTGGCCCCAAAATAAGTAGAACAAGAACCAAGTATAAATTACATGACTGCACAGAATATAAGAAATGACAATTACTAGTAAATTACCTGAAGTGAATATAATTGCCTTCTAGCTTGAATGATGAATAAAGAACAAATAACTGATACCAACACTTTACCTTGAATGGTCCCTTGAAATATGTGTTAACTACTTATGCTAAACAATGTGTTCCACCTTGTATTTAGCTGTGACACTCTGGTTACCTTTCCCAGACCTGAAGAAGAGCTCTCAGTATGCTTGAAAGCTTGTCTCTCTCACCAGTAGAAGTTGGTCCAATAGAAGATATTAGCTCACCCACCTTGTCTCTCTAATATCCCGGGACCAACACAGCTACAACAACACTGCATATAATTTAAAACTCTAGTTATTTTGCCTCTTGTTTAACTGCACTGTTCTTCCTTTAACTGATCCCTTTTCCCCTTATACCATCTGCCTTTCCTCTTTCTAGCTACAGTCCCTTTTTGTTACTCTCCCTACTATTTCTATTTTTCCTGTCCCTCCTGACCTGGACTTTCTCCCCTTCAGCCTCTCCAACGCCACAACTCAGCCGCCAGGGTACCTATCCACTGGCCTCTTTCTGTGTCCCTTCTTTTCTGGTGCCAGTTGCAGGCTCGCTTGCTTCTGGCCTCTTTCTCTCCCAGCACTGTGCAGCTTCTCTCCAGACTCCACCAGCCATTTCCACCACTGGCTTTTGGCCTGCTCACAGCAGCACTTTGGGGGGAGAGGAGAAGCTGCTGCTGATATTTTTTTCTTTTCCTCTTTCCCCCCAAAACCATCTCAAACTCAGCCCGCTTCAACTACATCAGAGTCCTTGGAGTTCTCCAGACCCCTTGCTCCCAGAGCGGATGTTTCAGGCTCTCTACCTTTTTTAAACACCGCTCCCCCCACACGCATACACATTCTAAACACCATAAGGCTACTGAGTAGCCAAATTATGCTGCTTCCTTCCTTTGCTCTCCTGACCCAACAGCCTCCAGAACAGGTGGGGCATTACAGAAGTGGGAGAGTCTTCTTCTCAAGACTGAATGTCTTTCTGGAAGACACAGTTTAGTCAGACACAAGGTATTGGGCTCAATTTAGAGGTAACTGGGTGAAATTCTATGGCCTGTGTTGTACAGGAAGTCACATTAGATGATGCAATGGTCTTTTCTAGCTTTAAAATCTATGAATCTATGAAGAGCAGGCCCTTTTTCCACACACTGGGCCCAATCTTACCAGAATTAAATATGAAAAGAAATGCTTGGGAAAAGAACAAAGTCAAATGCTTAAAGAAAGCACAAGAAAAGATCTGATCGAAGCATGCTAGATGCCAAAAACAAACAAAAAACTCACTTCAAAAACTCAGTTCCCCCCCCATAAAGCTGAAATATCGGTAAACCCACTTAGAAAAAGGATATCTAGTTAAATACTCACAGTAAAGAGCAAACAATTAAGGACAACTCTGTCCCCCTCCCAAGGTCCATAAAAATCACAAATGGGCGTTCATGACTTGAGAGGATCAGAGACAACCATTGCCCCACGTCAACAGCAACCACAGAGTTGTTAGGATAATGAGACGAAAGACTGGCCTAGTGACCTAGCAGCATGCTCTTTACTGCCATGTAGAAGACCTGTGCAGGACATATAGGCATATAGTCACGGAGACACTGAGCTTTATGTTAATGGCATTAATAAGTAGCTTTGATGCAGCTTGACTTTGAGCCTTGATAGACTGAAGCAACCTTTCACCCAGCATCCCAGATGCAGTGACAGTTCTGCAAATTCTTATATTATTAAAGAGGCCTTGTCCATCTTCAGGAAGTGTAAGAAGGAAACGTGTGAATGGGTAAGGAAGTACTTTTGTACATTTGTAAGTTAAAGGACAAAGGGACATGAGTTGTGGCCAGGAAGATGACAGGCCCCACTAGTCAAGATGCCACTGAAAAGTCTCAGCTGTTCACCTAACACAAAGGGTTGAGATCATCTTGCTGGAGTCATCACCTCCTATTAGTCCCTTAATGTTCCTTATCTGGGAAAAACACTGACTACTGGACATGATTTAGAAACAGGTCCCTAAAGGAGAACCCCAAAAGTGGCCAAGAGCTAGAGGACAACACCTAATGAGACTGGACAATGCAGCTGTTTAGAAGTGTGAGCAACAAGGGTGATGTCATGGAGGGAGTCTGCTGTAGACCACCAGACCAGGGGGATGAGGTGGACAAGGCTTTCTTCCGGCAACTCACGGAAGTTACTAGATCTCAGACCCTGGTTCTCATGGGAGACTTCAATCAGCCTGATATCTGCTGGGAGAGCAATACAGTGGTGCACAGACAATCCAGGAAGTTTTTGAAAACTGTAGGGGACAATTTCCTGGTGCAAGTGCTTGAGAAACCAACTAGGGGCAGAGCTCTTTTTGACCTGCTGCTCACAAACTGGGAAGAATTATTAGGGGAAGCAAAAGTGGATGGGAACCTGGAAGGCAGTGACCATGAGATGGTTGAGTTCAGGATCCTGACACAAGGAAGAAAGGAGAGCAGCAGAATACGGACCCTGGACTTCAGAAAAGCAGACTTTGACTCCCTCAGGGAACTGATGGGCAGGATCTCCTGGGAGAATAACATGAGGGGGAAAGGTTTCAGAGTAACAGCCGTGTTAGTCTGTATTCGCAAAAAGAAAAGGAGTTCTTGTGGCACCTTAGAGACTAACCAATTTATTTGAGCATGAGCTTTCGTGAGCTACAGCTCACTTCATCGGATGCATACCGTGGAAACTGCAGCAGACTTTATATACACACAGAGATCATAAAACAATACCTCCTCCCACCCCAGTGTCCTGCTGGTAATAGCTTATCTAAAGTGATCATCAAGTTGGGCCATTTCCAGCACAAACCCAGGTTTTCTCACCCTCCACCCCCCCACACACAAACTCACTCTCCTGCTGGTAATAGCCCATCCAAAGTGACAACTCTCTACACAATGCGCATGATAATCAAGGTGGGCCATTTCCTGCACAAATCCAGGTTCTCTCACCCCCCCCAAAAAACACACACACAAACTCACTATCCTGCTGGTAATAGCTCATCCAAAGTGACCACTCTCCCTACAATGTGCATGATAATCAAGGTGGGCCATTTCCAGCACAAATCCAGGTTTTCTCACCCCCCCGCCCCCATACACACATCCTTGCTGATCTTAAACACAAAAAAGAAGCTTACAAGAAGTGGAAGATTGGACAAATGACCAGGGAAGAGTATAAAAATATTCCTCGGGGATGCAGGAGTGAAATCAGGAAGGCCAAATCACACTGGGCTTGCAGCTAACAAGAGATGTTAAGAGTAACAAGAAGGGTTTCTTCAGGTATGTTAGCAACAAGAAGAAAGACAAGGAAAGTGTGGGCCCCTTACTGAATGAGGGAGGCAACCTAGTGACAGAGGATGTGGAAAAAGCTAATGTACTCAGTGCTTTTTTTGCCTCTGTCTTCACAAACAAGGTCAGCTCCCAGACTACTGCACTGGGCAGCACAGCATGGGAAGGAGGTGACCAGCCCTCTGTGGAGAAAGAAGTGGTTCAGGACTATTTAGAAAAGCTGGACGAGCACAAGTCCATGGGGCCAGATGCACTGCATCCGAGAGTGCTAAAGGAGTTGGCGGATGTGATTGCAGAGCCATTGGCCATTATCTTTGAAAACTCATGGCAATAGGAGGAAGTCCCGGACGACTGGAAAAAGGCTAATGTAGTGCCCATTTTAAAAAAGGGAAGAAGGAGGATCCTGGGAACTACAGGCCAGTCAGCCTCACCTCAGTCCTTGGAAAAATCATGGAGCAGGTCCTCAAGGGATCAATTCTGAAGCACTTAGAGGAGAGGAAAGTGATCAGGGTCAGCATGGATTCACCAAGGGCAATTCATGCCCGACTAACCTAATTGCCTTCTATGATGAGATAACTGGCTCTGTGGATGAGGGGAAAGCAGTGTTGTTCCTTGACTTTAGCAAAGCTTTTGGCACGGTCTCCCACAGTATTCTTGCCAGCAAGTTAAAGAAGTATGGGCTGGATGAATGGACTATAAGGTGGATAGAAAGCTGGCCAGATTGTCGGGCTCAATGGGTAGTGATCAATAGCTCCATGTCTAGTTGGCAGCCAGTATCAAGCGAAGTGCCCTAAGTGTCGGTCCTGGGGCCGGTTTTGTTCAATATCTTCATAAATGATCTGGAGGATGGTGTGGACTGCACCCTCAGCAAGTTTCCGATGACACTAAACTGGGAGGAGAGGTAGATACGCTGGAGGGTAGGGATAGGATACAGAGGGCCCTAGAGAAATTAGAGGATTGGGCCAAAAGAAATCTGATGAGGTTCAACAAGGACAAGTGCAGAGTCCTGCACTTAGGACGGAAGAATCCCATGCACCGCTACAGACTAGGGACCGAATGGCTCAGCAGCAGTTCTGCAGAAAAGGACCTATGCGTTACAGTGGACGAGAAGCTGGATATGAGTCAACAGTGTGCCCTTGTTGCCAAGAAGGCCAATGGCATTTTGGGATGTATAAGTAGGGGCATTGCCAGCAGA